ATTGCCTCGGCCACAAAATTTCAAAACATGGTATTGAGGTCGACCAAGCTAAAATTGAGGTGATCTCCAAACTCCTTCCTCCTATATCCGTGAAGGGAGTGAAGAGCTTCTTGGGTCGTGCGGGTTTCTATCGCCGATTCATCAAGGACTTTTCCAAGGTGGTGAACCCATTGTGCAAACTTTTGGAGAAGGATGCCAAGTTCCATTTCAATGAAGATTGCATGAAGGCATTCGAGTTGCTTAAGTTCAAGTTGACTGCTACTCCTATTATCACCGCACCGGATTGGAGCTTGCCTTTTGAGCTCATATGTGATGCTAGTGATGTTGCGATTTCAGTGCAATTCAACCCTCATCCTTTGGAAATTGAAACCGATTCCACGGAGGTAATATCCCTATTTGAAAAAGATCACCAAATTTATGATCACATTATCTCCTCATGCAGGTGATTAATGGTACAACTGGGAGCACCAATGCTCAGACATAACTTCCGAGAAGCTAACTCTGTAGCTCATCTTTTGGCAAGAAGCAGTAAGAAGTTAAAGTTTATGAATAAAACAATCATTCATCATGCACCAACACAGGCAGTGGAGGCAGCTTTGAAGAATGACGTGTAGGAAAACAATACTCTAGGTCTATTTCGGAAGAAGTTTGTAATAGGTTAGCTAGTATAGGCAATGTAAATGCCATGCAGAACTCTACTACTTTGGTAAGCCCTGTCAGTTTCGATCCCAATGGGATGGCTGATAGAGCCTTTTGTAATATTACGTAGTTTTATTAATAAAGTTTCCTTTTACAACCAAAAAAGAAAAAAAATTACATCACCAGAGCATATATAGAACGGAAACGCACTACGTCTCTTTCTAAATAGTAGCCCTTTTCTTTACACTATATGACTTGGCAAACTGTACTTTACAAGTGTGCAAAGTCGTTATAGTATTACTCCCTCCGGTCCACAATAAGCGACCAATTTATTTTTGGCACGTCAATTAAAAAAATACTAAAGTCTATACAAAAATACCTAATATGACTAAACCACCCTTAATTAAATATTTAATGTGAGGAGTAAGAAAACTTTTTAGGGATATGTACATAAGGGTAATTTTACAAAAATAAATTGAATTNGAGTACTTCTTTAAAATAAGTTCGAGATGTCGACATTACTCGATAAATTAATGTATGTGAACTAAGAGATGGTTGATATTATTAAATTAATATTGGTTAAGTCATAAAACAGAAATAAATTAAGCAATTTCTTTTCATAATGTTTTGGCAAACCCGATGAAGATAGTCATCCACATGTTTGTGTGTATTGTCACAGACAAGAAGAAATGGGGAATGTGAAAATCAAAGCTGGCATTGGGAGATGAGCAGAATTCCTTGTCTCAAGGAGATTATGTTGTGTTTTAAGTCTAGCGCATTTAATTTAAAGGCAGTAATATCCTAATACTATAATGCTTTCGGTTTACGATAAGTGATCAATTTGTTTTTTTATTTTGATCCAAAATAAGTGTCCATTTATATAATCAAGAAAGAATTCAATTTGTTTTTACAAAATTACCCTTATGTACATATCCCTAAAATGTTTTCTTACTCCTCACATTAAATATTTAATTAAGGATAGTTTAATCATACTAGATATTTTTGGATAGAATTTAGTATTTTCTTAATGGGCGTACCAAAGAAAAATTGATCACTTATTATGAATCGGAGAGAGTATGTAGTATAGTTAAAACCCCATGTTCCTTTTTAAAGCTCCTGAATACATCTTATCTGGGCAGGTAATATGGAGTAATATATAAATCCCTTATCTAATAAACAGCTAATTAAGCCTCAATGATTTACTTAACTGAGATTAGATTGGCCTTGGCTAACATTTAATGAAGTTGATTAAGTCGAATCCCTTTAATCCTGCTCTTTTAACATGGGCTGCTACGTGTCAGCACATGGTCAGAAACATCTTTAGAATTGAATTTGTTGTTAGTAAACTGGAGAATAAACTTTGAAATAAATAAATATTTGATTACAGGAGGAAAGATGGTTAGTTTAACAAATAGGTAAACGGATAATTAGCAGTCTATATTAAGATGGATTACTTTAATTTAATCGAATGTATTTTGATTTTTTTTTTGTCTTCATATAATTTTTGTCATATCATTCCCACATGGGATTAATAGATTGTTATTAAGGGAATCTGCTCGCATATTCGAATATGCCTTCGCTTCGCTTTATATAATTAAAATATCCAATTATCATCTACTATACGTAATTCCTAAAAAGTATCTCTGCTATCTAGCTTAAGGAATTCACATAACAATTGGTTTTGAGCTAAGTGTGAGCTAAGGTTGTTCTGAAATGGCCATTAGCGTAAAATAGGCTAAATGTCCAACATAATCCCTCAAAATTGGAATTTTACTCAAAACCGTCCCCAAAAATAATGTGGTGCACTAATTATCGTCCAACTATACAAAGTGGTGTATGCATGGTCGAGGCCAACGATTTTCGTGTTACTAATTTACTGTACGTTGGGAAATTTTGGTTTCTCTATCATGCTATGCTTTGTTTCTTCGTATAGTTTTTAGGACATAGTATCAGCATCTAAATTACCTACATCTACGCCTCAATAGCCAATATCAAACAAGTTGAAATCAACAATATAAATTCTCACTAATCATGTCGTTTCATTAAGAGCATCTCAAACCGATATTAAAAAAAATAAATATTAATTACTAGAAGCTCTCAATGCTTTCTACTAGAATATAAATCTCTGATATGACCAAGAGTTCTAGAACATAAAATCTAAAGCAAGCATACTAACATGACAGATTGATATTGTTATGGATCTTTTATTTTCTGTTGTGTCCTATTTTTCACTTGGTCTCAATTACT